TGTCCGTCTTCATTTCAGGCTGCAAAGCAACAAAATGTGATTATTTTAAAGGGGGTGATTCTTTTCTATATCCACTGTATCTACATGTGAGCCCCAAAGAATTTCTGCACTAGTACAGCATTTAGTTTCAAAATCAGTACATTTAGAAGTTTGTGAGTCATGTCAAAGACAGCTGACTAAAGATGCTATGCAACTCAGCATGTGTGTAACTAAAAATATGCCAAAAGAGTCTTTTTCTTATCTTGCTAACTTGCATTGAAAACGGAATAAAAGTTAACTGAACAAGTTGAAAAAGCATGTGTACGCTGCTTTCCTGTACAATAAAAGTGAATGGTGACCACAGCTGATTCAAAGCAAGCAAATACAAACTTCTAGGTCTGATCCTTAGACAAAGCTATCATGTGACTTCAAAAGACTTGTAATATAGCACACACGTTGAATGAACCTTTATTATCTAACTTTTATGGTGCGTTTTTGTCATTTTGGAGCTTCCCAGCCCCCATCCACTTTGTAGCTCCAAAATACTATCTTGTGTAAACATGTTAGCCATCATCATTTATGTTAGCCATCACATGTTAGCCATCATCATTCCATTTAAGCCCATTTGTCTTTCAGTAACTACACATCTCTACATAATAGTATTACACGTGTAAGTTAGGTATTTTTGAACCTTACAGTGAATGTAGTCAGATTCAAACGTTTATATATGGCATATATGGCAACAGAATGCTTAAGATCGCATGTTTCAATTTTCTTTTGGATCAACCTCAATTTAATTAATATTTGCATAAAAGCTCTTCAGTTTGACAGCTAAAAAGTATGTAAACATAGCAGGTGAAGTATTCAAATCCATTCAGTTTCAGGACGCTGCAACGAAGTGGGAAAATAAATGATGATCATAATGCTATTTCATGTGTTTTTGATGCTATTGTCATACTCCTCAAGACTTTTTCCATTTAACTGGAATTTCCATCTATGAAGCCCTGGGTGCAACTATTTTCTTCAGCACAGACAGAAATGTGAATGAGAAGTCTTAATTTATAACCCGCTAACCTTGATTTTTCATCACTGGAAGGTAGCCAGAGATTAAACTGTGACAAGTCAACCGCCAAAACCATTCATTCTTTCCTTGGAAAAGTTCTGTAATCCTACTCTCCTTTTTTCAGTAAAACCCCTTACAGCAAAACAACAAAAAGCTGAACAGGAAAATCCCCTTGGCTCATTCCTCATCCCAAACATTAAAAAAGTGTATCATTCATGCACTTTTATGAAATAGTACAGGATATTTATGACCTCCCTCAGAAGCCAGCCTTACTGAATCCTGGGCATATAAACATCCACTGCTTTTCATCATGGTATTTTGTAAATGCTCTTAACATTTTTAATCCTTTATATTTAGAGTGCAGCTTCTTACAACAAACAAAAAGCCTGCCATTGAACTTCGCATTGACTTGTGCAAGATGTAGCAGAGATTGGTTGACACGTTTACAGTTTTAATCATTCCATAAATGATTCCATAAACCTTATTTCAAAGTCTGTATGTGTGGGTAATGCTATTTTATTAACCTTGCACAGTCACAAATGTTTACACTGTTTACAACATTTACAGTGATTGCGAGCTCTTATCTTACTTTTTACAATTTAGATGAGATCCCATTGTTTTGGTTTTGCAGTAAGTAGTGAAAATAAATAAATAAAAACTATTTTGGTGGAAACTTTACTTTCTGGAACTACGGCCATAGAAAGTTAAACAAATCTAATGCCGTTTAATCCACGGACGGGTATTTAACGAACGATCGCCCGACAACAAATGTAACACCCACCTATGCGTTTGCCATTCTCGTATGCCACGATCTTGCACTGCTCTTGGTAAACTAACTCCTGGGATTTCGTCCTTTTGCGAAGCCTACGCACACAAGACATGACATGGCCGAAATTCCTCAAAGGGATCGACTGTAATCGGCTTAGTTTGTCTAGAAAAATAACATGAGGCGAGAAAACCATGACGTTTGCAAGTCTCTTTCTATGGGCGGGTTCTAAACCTGCAAAAATCATCCTGGATTGGGTTTTTACGATGCACTTGCTCTATGTATCTCAGGTTTTCGCATCTATACGTCTGGCATATTATGGAATGCACTGTGGTATTTAAATATATTGTGCCATAATAACAATATATGTAATATTTTTGCCTGTTGGTACCGTTTTCTCAGCCTGCTTAAATACAAAACCATTTTACGTCCTCCTGATAGAAGGAGGACGTAATTATTTTACGTTAGTTTCCGTGTAACAGATTTTGCCTGATGTCTACAAACGAGCCTTCTCTCTTGAGACATCTCGCTTATGGAAGAATCTTTGGTTGAACGAATCTTTTAAATGGAGGCATCGGTCTGATTTGACTCCTAGCTATTTAGTTTGCTGAAGTTTCTCCCCTTTAGAGCTCAGGATTGGTGACCAAAACGCGAACCAATAGCATTCCAGTGCGGGTTGTGATAGATCAGTTCATTGGCTGGACCTGCTGAACGAACCGCCCCATTCACTGAACGAGTCAAGACTCGTAGCGGTACTAAATGAGACAAACTGAATGAACTGGATATCTGCATCTGCTGACCAACTAAAGAGGCGGCATGTCGTTCAATTTCAGTTCTGCTTGTGAGTCAAACTCTTTAACAAAGAGAGAACGGTGGTGAAGAGTTATCCAATCTAGCTATTTCTGTATTCTTATAGCTTTATTAAAGTCATATCAAACATAAAATCTCTATCGAATCTAAGCAGATGTCATTTGAACAAATCAGTAAACGAATCTAAATGAATCTTTTAGGGAACCGATTCAAAGATTCGAGTCACTTTGATGAATCACTAGTTCAAACGTAATTTGGCATAGGGCGCCTTCTTCTGGTTGAATCCTCGCGTGACATTAGTTAACGTCATGCTGAACGTGGGTTGGTGCAAATGAAGGTCCACGAAAAGAATATGTTACTCATACAATATATAAACAACGTTAACTCCAATAGTGTGTATTTGTTTGTAAGCTGCAATGCTCATAAATGACATGGTTTTATTGTGAACTCATGCATCTGTTTTACCCTGTATATTAAAGTTCTCAGATGTAAGACAAGTCAGCAAACTCCTGAAGTGATGGAAAATGTTCTATGATGCCACTAAATATGGCACCTCTACATTTAATAGCAGTTCTGGGTGTGCAACAGTAAACAAGATGGTCATTAGGCTACACGTCGCATGACTGAAAAGAACCTCGCGAAAGCAAAAACCAAGGTAAAATATTTAACAATCTGTTTAAAAGAAACTTGTTTTGTATAAAATCTGTGGTATTGTAACATTCAAATATTCACATTATGGTGTTCATATAGCCATTATTTATGAATAGCCTGTTCTGTTGACACTTCAAATCAATTTTTTTTTACACTTCTCGCACGGAATAATTATGACATCACTGCAAAACTTACCGAATCTGCCGACATTTCCATTGACTTCCATGATTCTTTCTGTTGTTTTATTTAGCGTTTGCTTTCAGTTGTAGTATATTTCAGTTGGAAAAAGACCATTCGCGTCCCAAAGCCACTCAGAGCCTCTCATATACTGACTGGGATGAGTAAAGCCCGTCCACTGACAGGAAAGTTCAGTGCGCTGTGTGTGTGGAACCCGCCTGTTACACTAGTGCAGTATCGAGAATTCGCCAACACCCACAACAACACCGGTCTTTCAAGTCTCTGGTCTCAATGATGCCCTGAAAAATTTCATTTGTTTCCACCCATTATGAACGACTGAAGTTCAGGCTAATTCAGAAACGCGTCTGCTTTCTGAACGAGCTCTTGTCTATGATTAATTTCTTAAGAAATCCACTCTTGTCCTGTAATTCCACTCTCGAGTGTGTTGTTCAAAGACTGAAAATGAATAAAACCTAAATGTTGACTAGAGTTGCCACCTAGATGTGTTTCATAAGCACATTATCTTATCATTTAGGTGTAAAGAAATAAAAGTCAGTGTAGTCTTTGATTTACATTCAGTGTTTTCAGATTGAAAACATTCTTCATTTCACTGCCAGGAGATTAAATATCATCTATGGGGGCCTGTGAGACTTCATGCTACAGCTTGTTTTGTTTTTATGTTCCACTTCAGGATGGATTTATCTGAATATGGGACTTTGTATAAATGGAAGGCTATTTATTTGTTTAGTGTTAGGCTAAATGTTACATATTAGTGATTTGTTGTGAGCGATTGTGTTGCATCGGCTGACATGATGGGACAAAATCGGAACACTTCCAATCAAACTGTCTACACAATACCCGAACAAGAGGGTGTGAAGTCCAATAGCATACAGCCTCTTTGCTTTATGATGATGGGGATTTTGAAAATCATCCTGCTTGGCAACTTTTAGCACACCCTTCAAAACCAAGCCATTCCTGATCTTCAGGTATGTAAAGGTGTGCATGTTATTTTTGGATTGGGTAACATGTTATGTCATTAATTTATGGCCATGTTGCATATGTATACCATCACATGTGACTTACCACCACTATAATGTACAAAAATTCAGATGTTTTAGATTTTTTCCAAAACTAGACTGTAAAAATGCATTTTTCTTATACAAAAAGCATTTTCTTTCTTTTTTAAATTTACTTCTTCTATGGTCTCCTATAAGACTGCATTTATTTGACCACAATAAAGTAAAAACAGTAATAACTGTTATTTAAAATAACAGTTTTTTTTATTTTAATATATTTTTTAAAAAGCCATGTATTAATGTGTTATCGAAGCTGTATTTAATCTTTTGTAATATTTTTATAAATGTCTTTACTGTCACTTTTTATCAATTAAATGCGCAACTTGCTGTACGAAAGTATTAATTTCTTTAAAAAAAAATCTTACTGACTTCAAACAGTAGTGTACATTTTGTGGTTTAAAAGTCCATAAGTTTTAGTGGCAGTTTTAAATGTCTTTCTTGTTAAGATAATTTAAATAAATCGCTCTGGATACAGAGCTTTTCTTTTTTAGGAGTTTCCTCAATTTGCTGCTCACTGCAGAGCAAATGGGTGGAGCTAGATGTCCAGTGGGGAGGAGCTACACGGATGTCCAGTGAGGAGGAGCTACAAAGCGCAGAGGGCACCATTTGGAAAGATGGCGGATGGTGACGGTCACAGACAATTCGACGTAATGGCAGTATGTAAAAACTAAACTTTAAAGATAAACTGAACTTTGAGACGTGTGTAAAATATTTCCTTAGACTTATCTCGACATGAATGTTAATGTTAACATAAATATTTAGATATACATTTATTAGGGGTTGAATGGATCGTAGTTGATTTGTGATCCTTATGGACAGGCCCCACGGTTCGGCACCATGTGATCCTCGGATTAATTGCAAAATTTAAACATAATAGAGTGAAAGTTTATCTTTTATCGTACGTGTATATACACTCGATTTTAAACTATTCTACCTCAAGAACAGGCAAAAGAGAATTCATTCAGTGTTCGCGCGCTTTGTTTCTATGCGCACAGCCGCACACGCAGAGATGCGCGTTTCACAGCGGTGAACACCAATCTAAACCCTATTTCGCATCTCTTTGCTTTTGAACAGACACATACACATACAATTATGACAAAATACGCATCTCCACATTCTCATAAACATAGTCGGTTATGTCTTCAGCAAACATAAACAGCTGAGAAAGAAATTGGATGTGTATCATTATACTGGATCCTTGCATCATGTCTTAAAGGGGGCATAACACACACATTTTCACCCAATCTCATGTTAATCTTGAGTACCTATAGAGTAGTACTGCATGCGTTGATGGGCACGATCTCGCTCTCGCTCTGGTCGATGCGTGCGCGGGCGCGTTCTTCTGGGAGTAATGCCCATATAAGGAGTTCCACCCACGTTTACGTCATTAAGAGCCACGATCGAAAAAAACTCTCAGAAACCTGTACGAACCCAGAAGTAAGATTTTTGGCACAGAAATACTCTGTCATATGTCCAAATTGTTTTTTGAAACTTTGTCCATGGTTAGCATGAGAATCCAACTCTTTAAAAGTGTAAACAACTCTGAATGCATGAAACAGCATTGTACCCCCCCCTTAAAGGGGAAGCAGCCTATAAATACCTGCTACTGTCATTTAATTCTAATCAAACAACAAAACACAGCTTTGACAAAGATTAATCTATATTTAATTTATACAGTGAACACTATGCAGTGTTATTTTACACTTAATTATTATATTTCTGTACCTCAACACTACTGAACTTATTTTATTTTTATCTTTGTTCTTTTGTATTTATTTGTGCTTGTAATTTGTGTATTTGTTTTACTGGCTGTTCACTTGTCTTTACTCATGTTTGAACTTTATTGGTTAGGTTAGTAGCTAGTTTTTGCTGTGGTATCGAAGAAATACTTAGCTTTAAGTAATAAATGGAAAGCAAAGCTACATTTAAATAATTTTTTTTCTTGCTAATCCAAAACACGATCCGATCCGTGAGTCAGAAACCGTAAAAATGAACCGTGAGTTTTGTGATCCATTGAACCACTAATATTTATATATATATCTATAATTATTTATTTTTGCTGATAGATGTTAATGGTGTGTGTTTGTTTAACCTGCACAGAAGCATCAGACAATACTGAATAAAGGACACGGTCCCCTTCTCTCTGTTGAGAAATGCACAATCTGCTGCAGAAAATATCACTGTGCCTACTGCAAACTGGTGTATAACCATTTAAATGAGCTACAAAATCATGTAGTAGATCATGTTCGAGTTGCAGTTCATCATAAAGGAATGTGCGTGAATTATTGTAAGTTTCTTATACAGTTCAATTATTGTGTGGTCATGTTTTAAAGTTATGAATCCTTTTGTTTTTCACATGTTTTGGCCTTGGTCATTTCTCCCTAGACTTTGGAAATAAAAACATAATTTCATTTAACATTTCCTTGCACTGTGAAACCTTTGGAAAGTCTGAATCTCAAAGGTTCACATACTTCTGCACACAAGGATACTTCATGTATTAACTAAATAATCCAAAAATATTTGTATATTATAATGTACAAAAATATATGTGTTTTCTGTTGATCACGTCATATTTTATCAGAAAATGTAGCGTAGATGAAGACAATAGAGTATGTCTAGAATATGCAAAAAACAGACTTCCAAAGGGGTTCATAAACTCAGTTTAATTAAATCCTGTTGTGTGAACTTAGCATAACTGTTTGGACAGAACAAAATCTTCACCCACACTGGTCCTATTGACAGTGGGCATCTGGTAATTCCAAGATTAATCTTTTTATGTTCGTGAGCAAGTCGCTTTACCCCAAAACCTCTACAGGGGCACTGCACTGTATAAAATATTGTAAACAAGACAGTTGATCAAAGTTATTCTTTCTACGGTTTAGATTATGTCATCGTAAAGTGCAATCAGGACTGCAGACAAGCAGCACATTTTCACTGCTGCTACTGCACATCAACATTGATCAGAAGGGATACTCTGATTAAACATCTAACAAGTTGCAAAGAAACGTCATTCAGACAGCCTCCACCCACAGCAGCAGCACCTCCAACAGCACCAACTCCAACTCCACCTCCAGCAACACCAACTCCATCTCCAGCAGCACCAAATCTATCTCCAGCAGCACCACCTCCATCTCCAGTAGCACCACCTCCACTTCCACCTCTAGCAGCACCAGCTCCAGTATTTACGGCAGCACCACCCCCAGCTCTATCCCCAGCAGCGCCACCTCCAGTAGCACCAATTCCATTCCCAGCAGCACCACCTCCACATCCATCTCCAGCAGCTCCACCTCCATCTCCATCCCCAGTAGCACCACCTCCAGCTCTATCCCCAGTAGCTCCACCTCCATACCCAGCAGCACCATCGTCAGTAGGATTATGTGTCAGGCAGCAAGTCAGGGTGACTTGCATGCACTGTGGCATTCAAATAAATAAAAGGAACTTGCTGGTTCACATGAACAGAAATCACAGGCAAAAGGTAACCGAAATTTCAGCTAAACGGCACCTGTCATGCCAATGCATTGATGCCAAAAATGGCATCTCTGCTGTTAACCAATCATTCTTTAAGCCTTGCTCTCCTATACATGTTCAGAAAAAAACATGGGGTGCAAGCCAAAACATAATCTGTGAACTGAATGAATGCAAGACAAATTCTGAATTTGCTGTCAGGAGTAGAATTCTTCCTTATGAATGCATGCATCTAAAGTCTTTGCTGTTCTGCCCACGAATGGACAATGCATCCATCATTATGGAGGAGGAGGTGCTTTCAGAAATGGTTGCTGCGAAGATATTTGGGGACACACGTAAGCAAAGCTGCTTAAACCGCCAAAAAGCAGCTGCTGATGCAGGTGTTCCACTTTCAGTTGAGGTGACTGTTGGAGGGCCTCCTTCCAAAAAAATCTTATCAATATATGAGCCAAAGATATCACACCACAGCCGACTGGGCAGGCTAATAGCGGCATATGATTCTAAAAAGAATTCCTGGCAATGCCCATGTGCCAAAGCAAGACAGTCATGTCTCCATAAAACAGTGGCTAAATGGCATCTTTTTACAACTGACCGACATCTGTTCAGAACTACAGAGATTGATGCCAGGCAAGATCCAGTTGAGATTCATGATGACACACAAGTTCTTGAAATCAATGCAAGACCAGGTGGAGGTGAAGGGCCAGCATATCCTCCTGATGATGCAGGCCTCCAGAGGATGGTACAGTATTTACTGCAAAAAAAAGGTCTACCTTCCCAACTCCCCTAGCATTTGATCACTGGCTCCAAATCTTTGCAAGATTTTCCAAGGCAATTGATGCCAAAAGAAACATCTTGCGTGGAGTGTGCAGGGCATCTAAGTGAGCCAGTGCTCATTACAGCACGCGCCAAGCTTGTGACATATACTTGTGTTGTTGAAGGTGAGACATGTCAAAAAATATCATCCATGTCAGCTTAGCCATAATGATTTAGCTAAAAACAAAGTAAAAGCAAAGTTAGGGTTGTACAGTAGGTACACAGTGAATTTGCTATATAAAATATGATTGATATCAGTCAATAACACCTTATTCTACTTTTTCTTTTACTTTTTTTTTTAGGCTGTTAGAAATCATTAACAACGGTCCCTCTAGATTCTCTTTGCCACCTCAGATATTCTCAATCCCTCAAAGTGGATATAACGGCCGGGAAGTAAGAAAACACACATTCATATGTATTCTCAATACTTCAACTTTATTCATAGATACAAAGATATTATATAGGCATATGTCGAGGGGAGTTTCAACCCTTTAACCAATGAGGATATAGATGACATACATATAGGATCTTTGGCCAAGAATATGTGTTTATATAAAATGGCCATATGAACAGAAAAACATGGACATATTAGGAATAGACTTTTGCGAAGGATGCTAAACTATCTTCATGGTTTCATCACGAACCTCATTCCTAGCTATCATGTCCTTATTCAGACATTTGAATCAAGAGAAGCTAATGTATACATTTGCGCATGCATAGCTCGAATGTGAGTAAGAGACATTAAAACACCATACAAGAGAGAGAGAACAGATAGAGGAGGGAGAGTGAGAGGGAGAGGGAAAGAAAGGAGGGGGAATAAGAGAGAGGGGAAAAAAAGGAGGGGTGAGGCATTCTCAAGACAGAGAGTGTTTTCTAACATAGGCTTTTCTACATACTGCAGGGCATGTCCTGTCTGTGGGCTGATGTACCGTTATCAAGAATGGAGTGATGGAATTCACAATTTCAACGACCATATTCTAATCACTCTTCATTTGTGTTGTCATGAATCCGGTCTATAAACTTCCGTTCACTCACCACCAGAGGTCACCCGCTCTCCACATGGACTCTCATACTACACAGACTGTTACACATCACCCTGGACTACATTTCCCATGCTCCATTGCACTAATCACAAGCTCACCTGAAACCAATCATACACAGCTGCTACCAATAACACACACTATATAAATCAGTCTCACACCACCATTCAACGCAGAGTATTGTTTGCACATATCGCTCAGTTAGTGATAGCAACATTACGGAGCCCTTTTCCTAGTCTTGTATTTGTTCCTAGTTCTAGTCTAGTCTTACCTCATTGTGTTATTTGATTGCCTGGTTGCCTGATTTTCTGCCTGCCTTGGATTTCTATCGCCTTATCGTTTGGACTCTGTTTGCCCCCTTACTGGACTATCGCCTGTTTGTGGATTACCCGTTTGCCTTGCCCTCTGGATTACGTTCGCCGATCGAAGACCCTCGCCTGCCCTAGGAATACTCTTTGCCTTGCCTGTGATGTACCTGTGTTGTTGTCTGAACCTTGCCCGTTTTGTGACCACGCCTTTGTAATAAAGCCTTGCACATGGATACGCAAGTCTCATGTTCTGATTACTCCGTAACATGTGTATTGTACTACATACATCACTTCAGGTAAGAAGCACATTTAAAGGGCACCTATTATGCCCCTTTTTACAAGATGTAATATAAGTCTCAGGTGTTCCCAGAATGTGTCTGTGAAGTTTCAGCTCAAAATACTCCACAGATCATTTTATATCATTTTGAAAATGCCTATTTTGAGTGGAAGCAGAAACACACTGTTTTCGTGCCTGTATCTTTAAATGCAAATGAGCTGCTGCTCCCAGCCCCCTTTTCCAGAATAGGGCTGTGCTAGTACAGCTCATTCCTCAAATACGTCGCCAAAAAAACATCTGTTTGGTTTTGATTATCATTAGGGGTGGCACAATACTATTTTTTTCAAAACCGATCCCGATCCGATACCAAAAATTCTGAGTATCGGACAATACCGATACCAATCCGATACCAGCGCAGTTTTTGTTTTTTTTTAATCGGTGAAGAATTTCTATACCTCAGTGTGTGTTGACCTGATCATCACTCATTTGTGTTACACACAATCTGCTAAATATAGACAACTTCATTATAAAGAAAAATAACAAATGAAAAAATATATGATCATAATCTATGAGAAAAATACTATTATAAACTACGTTAGTGGATAATTCAGCAGCAACTCTAGAAAAAAGAGTTCACAATTTTATAAAATCTAAACATTTAGAGAAAAAACATTATTTAAAAAAATAATGTAAATACTTGTAATCTGGTAAAATGTTACACATTGCTCTTTGTGTTGTTGTAAAATGAAAAAAGTAATTATTTTTATATATGAATATATGCAACATATGATAGATAAGACCGAACAAGAAGGCTATTAATAATCTTTCAAAAGTATTATAATATGAAAGGCTCCAATACAGAGCGGCACAAAGCGTTTATGCGCATCCCGTGCATAGAATGATGCGCTTGAAGCAACACTGAGTCACAGAGCGTAGCGCTCCGCACAGAAAAGTTCAAAGCACAAAGGGAAGAGATATTAATATTGGTGTATTATATCTGTGCGATAGTTTGAGTCTCTTCTTTTATCCGTGTTAAATTACAGTTACTGTGCGCATGAAGAACAATTCATAGTGCTCTCTACTCCAGTGTAGTGATCTATCAGACACCCGTTAGAAATTAACATGCTTTAGAAACAGCACTAAACTCCAGCAAGATAAAGTCCTTTTATGCAAAACCACTGATCTTTATCTACAGATCAAGTATAACAATAGGAACATTGAATCATCTTGGAGCGAGTTTCATCGTCTTGTCTGTCGTAACCTAACGTGATATGCAGTTTGAACGCTGACAGCTGCAGCGGAGAGAAGAGTGAATATGACTTAAATATTCATCTGTAAACTATGGAACGGCTTCAGAACACTTGGAATATAGTGCACGAAAACTTTATGGTGCTTTTATAAAGTGTTTGTGTCTTTCGTGGGGCTTAATAAACACAGAATAGTATACTCACTATATCGGATTTGGATCAGACTTGTCTGACCGATTCCACGATCCAGCAGAAAATGCCAGTATCGGAGCTATACTGATACTGAATATCGGATCGGTGCACCCCTAATTATCATGTCTATCGCGCTAAAATAATGCGGTTTAAAGCCATATTAGTTTAAACTTCTGATATAGTGTTTTCTGAGCGCACACATCCGAAGCATGTGCACAGAAAGTGGCTGTCACACGGCATGTGAGCATTAAACTAAGATCTCGTTTATGTCTTATTGCACTTAAACTTGTCAAATACACACAAGTTTGTTAAAAACACACACAAGTTACAAAAATACAGTTGGTTATGTCTGTGAAGGTAAACAGCTGGGAAATAAATTGCATGTTTATATTAGATCTGTGTATTAAGTGACATCAGCATAATATACATTACCTATGCTGCTGTCTACACTGTTAATATGACCCAACACTCTAAAAAACACTGGGTTAAAAACAACCCAATTTGGGTTGTTTTTAACCCAAGGGCTGGGTAAATATAGGACAGAACACATATGGGGTTAATTTTACCCAGCAAATTGGTTTGTTTATGTAACCCATCATAATGGGTTTATTTAACCCAGCTAATGGGTTGATTCATTTTTATTATAATATAGCTTATTTTTTACTTTATACATGAAATAATGTTTACAAATTAACTTAAATCCACTAAATTTTTGTAAAATACTCCACACAACCACTGGTTTGCATGATATCTTCCTTTATTTTCCTTTATTTATCATTTACAGCATTGTTCATCGTTTGTATGTATACATATTGCTTATTTAAACTCGTTTAACAAACATTAAAAGTAAATATTAAACATTAAACAGAAGTAATTCACGTGTAAACGGCCAGTCTGTTATTCTGTTTCCACCGTAACGGCAGGAGCTGGGTAACACAAAAACTACCCAAACACTGAAAAAATAACCCGAAAAAATAACCCAGGATTTTGAAACAATAAAATAAAAACAGACAATCACTCACTGCTCTGGACTGAATAACGTCTATAGCTTTGATAAGAAGACATTTCTTACTTGAATGCTGCTTTTAAATGCTCTGGCGTGAAGATAAACATGACAGATTGTGTGCAGCTCACTCAGGGTGGGGTCTCTGCTAATACGGCAGTGTCCGTCAACAGTCGTGGGCAGGGCCTGTAAAAACTGACGTCACATTTTACAGATTTTGCAAACGGCTTGTTGTGAGACACTGCTTATGATTTATGGGGATTAAAAAAAACCGAGCGGGTGGATTTTTATCATTATAGGGTGGTTGTGTACACACACTGCCAACACACATTTATGTTCAAGCAACATGTAAAAGTGAATTTTGCACAATAGGTGCCCTTTAATGTAGATGTTGTACTGTTGTTGTTGTTGAATGTGTGCCTAGTTATGTCTTATACTTTCTTAGACTCACCATGCTGTAAGCCGAGCAATTGAAGTTACCTGTTTGCCTTTGAAGAAAATAAGTCCTTCCCTAAAAAGGCCACAATACTCCACGCCTACATGCACTTTGAAGCCCTGACTATGC